GATGACCTCAACACTCTATCTCAAAAAACAAAAGAGATGAAAAACAAAACAAACAAGCCCGTCCCCTTTGGCAGGTTTTGACTGTCTGCCCAGTCAAGGTCAGCTCCACCGCCCTGAGGATCCCAGCCCAACGGAGGTTCACAGAGGCTGCTCCCCTGCTTCTGCCCCGGGTGTCTTCGCAGCCTCCGTCTGAGACAGGGTAGCGCCTCAGGGACAGGCCGGCTGAGCCCCTCAGCTACTCGCCCCAAAGCTTCCTTGATTTCATATCCCTTTAGAGATTTCTCTTTTATACAAAAGTAACCCACGTTCACTGGGGAATTGAGAACGCCAGGCTGAGCAAAAAGTGAACAATGGTGTCTCGGCTCCCGCAGACTCAGAAAGAAGCCCTGGGAACATTCTGATGGGCGTCTTCCTGTCTTTTCTGTGTCTATAAATGTATTCATTTATAAAGACGGTGCCGTGCTGTAATGATGTTTTATAGTTTTCCTTTTCACTTAAAACTCTAAGTGGATTTCTTTCCATAACATTAAATCCCCTATTTTTGGAAGCTTGGAGATAGATATTCCCACCTCCAGAATAGATATGTGCACGAATTAATTAATGTATCTTCCAATCATTGTTGCTGTGAATCTTTTAGCTAGATCTTTACCAATGTCGGTTATCTATTTCACCGGAAATAAGGAAGTTCTAGAAGTGAAATCATTAGGTGAGAAAACATGCAAAACGTTAAGGATTTATGTGTCTACTTCCGTAGCTGTCTAAAAGTTTCTACGAGTTGACACTGTTAATGTGTGTTAGTGTTTACTTCTCCACATAATGCTTTTATCAAATAGATAGAGTGTTGTGTTTCCTTATTATCGGGGAATGGAACATTCTGTCATGTTTATTGGGCAATTCTCCTTTTGTGTTTGCTGTTCACGACTCTGTTCTTGCGATGCTTGCTTCGTGCCAGCTTTGAAAGCCCCCTCACTGTGAAGGAGATTCAGCCTTTATGCAACATGAGATGCCCCAGTCATTTGTCTTTTACATTTATTTATATTTTGGATGCACAAGGAGGTTCCACCCCTGTCCCCCAAACAGGGGCAGTTACTGCCTCCCTTGTTGTTTTCTTTTGAGGTAAAATCTCCCCGTGAAAGGCACAACTCTTGAATTCAGTGAGTTCAGACACCTGTTTACTCCCCACCCCAATCAGGATATGAACCATTTCCTCGGCCTGAAAAGTTCTCTTTGCCGGTTTTCCCTCACCCCCATCCTTGAAGGGAACCAGACTTCTGATTTCTATCCCTGTGGATCCTTCATGCTGGCGCCTGAATTTCATATTAACGGAGTCACGGTATATTGTTTTCATGTGGGAATTGTAGGGTATTTTTTGACGGTCATTCATGTGTCTCAGCAGCTCATTCTCTTCAATTGTTGAGTAATATTCCTTTGCACAAATAGGCCACAGTTGAAATATATCTCTTTCTTTGCTGATCTTACCCCAAATTTTAACTGAAGCATAGTCAAATTTGTCAGTGATTCCCTTCACAATTGGTGGCAGTGTTCTCTTCTATAATCCTACGGAAATGCCCACCAACAGATTTTTCTTAGTACTTTCATGCCTTTTCTTGTTTAATACTTGAACCTTCATCTGATGAGGCAGGAACCCAGCTTTTATACTCTTCTCTTCAGCTGATAAGCAGGTGCCCAACCACATTGTTTTCTGATTTGAAAAGCTGCCTTTATATTTAAATCCTTACAGGGTGTAATGTTCCAAATACCTGCCAATTGCCACGACACAGGCACTGACCGGCCTGGAAGGCTGCTGGCCAGGAGCTGGGACAGACAGACTACGCATCTCAGCTTTTGTTTGCTTGGGGATGTTTCTTTACTTTCTAGGACTTTCCATGCATCTCAGCCAGTACTATGTTGTTTCCATTATGGAGTCTCGGTAGTGGATTCTGTTTTCTGGGAGCACTTTCTTCCCCATTACTCTTCTTTTTGACTGGTCTCCAATGTTTATTCTTCCCAGTGGGCCATTCAACCATTTGTCAAGTCCCACGAAGTTCCACTGGGGCTTAACGTTACAGTTCAGTCTTTTTAAAAAAAAATTTTTTTTAACGTTTTTTATTTCTGAGAGAGAGACAGCATGAGCAGGGGAAGGTCAGAGAGAGAGGGAGACACAGAATCCGAAACAGGCTCCAGGCCCTGAGCTATCAGCACAGAGCCCGACGCGGGGCTCGAACCCATGGACCGTGAGATCATGACCTGAGTCGAAGTCGGATGCTCAACCCAATGAGCCACCCAGGTGCCCCTACAGTTTGATCTTCAAAATGTTCTTTTGCTGATGTGACTGGGAACTTCCCATCATGTTTTTCTAATGCATATACAATGCTAACCACAGTGCCTGCTGTATGGCAAAACTTGATAACTAGTGGCATTTATAACTATTGATTGTACATCTGAAAGCTATTGGGTTTTCTTCTTGTTGTTATATGTTTATAATTGGCCACCTTACTCAACTTCTAGAGTTTTTTCTTTTTATTTTCTGAGTCTTCAGAGTTGTCTCTATTTTTGATGGGAGAAGGATCTGTTTCCCTTTCTTTACTCTGGCATTCATGTTCTTCCTGAAACAAATCCGTATGAGTTTGGACTGTTTTCCACCTGCCTTCCCGGCTTCAGTGTTAAGAGACCTTCCTTTCCTTGTGCGGAACTCTGCCATCCTAATCCTCACCAGGCGTGAGCCGTCTCCTTCACCAGACATTCCCTCCGAGGCCGAGCGCACACTCCCACGTTCTTCTTCAGAAAAGGCGAGTGGGGTTCTGGCCTCACTCTTCCGGAGCGCTCAGGACTGGAGGTGAGGCTCACTGGCGCACCACAATGCGGCTACTCATCCCTCTGAAGGCAGTTCTCCCTTTTAATCAGTCCCGCCTTGGGTTACAGCCCAGAACTCTTCCAGGTGACGGTTCCTTCAGGCATGTAACTCTCATTTTGTACTCGTGAAATTAATTTTACTAGACTTGTACCCATTCCCCCTGCATTTCCTGATTATTGTACGCTTTTAGTGATCCGTGAAGTAACTTTGTAACTTAATTTTTATCTGAATGGAACTCAGCCACTGGTTGTTGCATCTTACACGAAGAGAACATTCGATAAGTGTACCTCTTGCCGGTCACTAGTGGAGATCTTCAGCTATGCCTGCTGTTTTACAATTCTGCAACCCACCATTCATTTGCTATCTTAGGACGGGCATTTCTACTTAAAATGCCCAAGGTTTCCTAACCATTACTTATTATTTCAAGATGCTTAAAATATTATGAAATTGAGCACTTTCATTTTGAAAATTCTACAGGTTTTTCCTCCAGGCGTCAAGCAAGAACCTTAAAATGAATCTCTGTTCATTTCTAAAAAGAAAGGCCCTCAAAACAAGCAGTCACAGGGCTCTGCCAGCTGCCCGCCGGCCGGCGTTGTCACGGACTCTCCGCCAGGCTGCACCTATTTGCCTCTAGGATTATTCTAAACTTGATCATCAGACTGACCTGTTTTCTGATTTTAAGTTCTGGAGAGTCGACAGGGGGAAAAAGACCCCCAAAGCTTCTTAACACTACAAATAAAATAATACCACAAAGCATTAATTTTCATTAAGACAGAAACGCTTCTGATTTTCTCTCCTGGAAGAACGTCTGGGCCGTAAAACCCGGAAAGGACGGGGGTCAGCGGAGGAGTGAGCGCATGTGCGGCTCCGCTGGACGGTGATGGGCACCGGGGCGGCCAACGGCGGGCACTGCGGGCCGACCCTCTGCCCTAACGCAGCAGGTGCCTTCCGCGGACCGAATCCCCCCCGGCGATTTCGCCGCGGACTTTTCTTCGGTCACGGCCAGGTGGTCGAGGCAGGTAGGGCCCGGCCCTCCGGCCCCGCCTGCGTGTCCTCACGCGCACCGCGGTGTGAAGCGAGTCCGGGGTCGTTAGGGGCGCCTGGCCGGCAAGGGCACGGTGGCGGCGGCGGGGGAGAACCCCTGCGCTCAGGTGCGTGCTCTCCCTGAGCCTGCTTTCTAGGAAAGAAGCTGTTCCAGCGATGAGACAACATATTTAACGACACTGGGTGAAGATCTCAAGCCTTTTCAGTCCCTCGTTTGGGCTGAGAGACACCGTGCCGGGTGCGAAGTGTTACGGAGCAAACCCCACCGTCAGGCAGGCTGCGGACTGCGCGCCGCGCTTGGGTGGGAGGGAGCGCCCTGCTCACGACCCCCGGCCCTCCCGCCAGGCCGCCCGCGCGCGCCCGCACGCTCGCCGCAGGCGCTCCCTCCCGCGGGCCACAGTCGCCGCTCCGGAGGGCGGGAGGGGCACGCAGGCCGCAGGGCGAGGACCCTGCAGCGGGGGGCACAGGCCGGGGGCGGTCGCAGGGGGCCGTCCGCGGGGTCTGCGGGGCCTGAGGGGCACGGAGCGGCCACGAGACACGGCCCCGACCACGCCGACCCGGCAGCCGGCAGCGCCGAGCACTGGGCGCGGAAAGGCGGACCGGGACCACCGTGCGGGCTCACTCCCCGCCCGTCGGGGAACAGCCGCCAGCCAGCGCCCCCCGCCCCCAGGCCGCGTTCCCGCCGCGGGGCAGGGCGGGGCCCGCCGCGCCTGCGCACTCGCCCCCCGCGCCGCCCGTGCGTCTCCCGGAGCACGCCACACCACGTGACCGCCGCCAGTACCCAAGATGGAGGCCGCGGCCAGGCCCGAGCGGCCCCCTGCTTCAGCCCGCGCCCAAGGGGGCGCCCGCTAGGAGCGCTGTCCCGATAACTAGGCCGGCACGGAACAGCTCTTCGGGACTGCCGGGCGGAGCTCGCCGGGGCCAGGGCCCACGTAAACAATCACAAGCCGCCCGACTCCCTGCGTTTTCTCAACCGCGAAGCGCCCAGCGGCTGGCGCCTGGAGCGTCCTTTGGTAGCCCCGCCCCCCAGGATTGGCAGCTCGAGCAGCCACCAGGGTCCGGGACGTGTGCGGGAAGGCGGGCAGAGGTGGAGCATCCCTACCGTTTGTACGGCGTCTGGCCTAGCGGTTGGCCGCCGCGGGACGAGGGGCGGGAGCACGCGGGGCGGTGCCCGGGGCCCCACTGGACCAATGGAAGGACGGCCGGGCGGCCGGGGAGGGCGGCCGGAGGGCGGGGCCGAACCGTAATTGACGAGCTCTTCGTTAGAAATCGGGCAGGAGGGAGGGGCCAGGGAGGGGAGGTGATGCAAGGCTGTCGCGGCCAATGGCTGCAGAGCCGCCGGCTGGGGGGCGGGGCCGGGTCGGCTGACGGGCGTCGGGCGTGGCCTATCAGCGCCCGGCTCCGTGCTGGAGGGGGGAGCGGCATCATGGTTCAACGTGGGTCAATTTTTTGTGAATGAGGAGGGGAGGTTGTGGGGCCGCCGCCGCGGAGCACCGTCCCCGCCGCCGCCCGCGCCCGAGCGCCCGCCCGCGCCGCCGCCGCCTCAGCAGCCTGGGCCCGGCGCGCCGCGGCCGCGTCCTCGCTGTCGCCGCCGCCCGAGCGCCCGCCCGCCCGCCCGCCGCCGGCGGCGGTGGTGGTGGTGGTGGTGGTGGCGGCGCAGGCTGAGGAGATGCGGCTCGGAGCGCCCGCGCGGGGCTAGAGCGCCCGCCCCGTCGCCGCCGCCGCCGCCGCGGTAAGCGCAGCCCCGGCCCCGGCCCGCGGGCCATTGTCCGCCCCCCCGTCCGCTCCCCCCTCCCAGCCCGCGGGCCGCCGGCCCCACGCCCCCCGCCGCCGCCGCCGCCGCCGCCGGCCCGGCAGGTGGACGCCCGGGTCCGCTCCCCGGCCCGGCCCCGTGCGCCAGGCCGCGAGTGGCGCCCGCCCGTGGGTTTTCCGGAGCGGCCGCCGAGGCCGGGCCAGGACGGCCCGCTGGCCTCCGGGGGTGGGGGGGGAGCACGCGCCCGGCGCCCGCCCAGGCCGAGCCCGCGGCAGGTGGGCCGGGGGCGCCCGGGGCCGGGCGGGCGCCGTTTATGTAACTTTGTCCAGGGCTGTGAGTTTGCAGAAAAACGTCCCTCCCCGGGGCTCGCGGCGCGGGTGCCCCGGTCCGTGACGGGCGGGGTGGGGGTGCTGCCCGCGCCCCCGGGAGGGTGCCCGCAGGATTCCACGGGCCGAGCTGTGGCCCGGTCCTGCCCAGATGGTGTGAGCCGCGTTTCCCGGCGTTGCAAAAACACGCCGCGGGATTATGAGCAAATTATCTCGTATTTACATTTAACGTTGAAATATTTGACACTGTTACAGCACGAGACCGTGCGTATCAGTTGGAAAGGCCGGGGGTGGAACCCAGTGTACTCACTTAATGCACATCAAAAATTTGTAATAACTTGCAGCAGCTGATATGAGTGTTTTCTTTATTGCATGTTGTAAATTGACCTGCTGTGACACAATTTTCAAATAAAGCGTTGCAGAAATTAAACTTAAGTTATTTTAAAACTAATGACTTTCTTAACTAAATCTTAATTGCATTACTGTAGAGACCTACCTAATTGCTTGCTGAGAGCAGTTATGCCTGCCCCCGGTGAGGGAGGAAGGGGCCTGGGCAGTTACTCTGCTTCCTCTCTTTCCTCTACTCAGGCTTTTCTGTTTATTCCCAAAAACCACCTAAGCATGGAGGGCCTGGGAGTAAACATGTAAACAGCCCTCACCCAGCGCCAGCCCAGCAAGAAAGATCGGGGCGATGCTGGTGGGTTTGCACCTTGGCCTGGTTTCACTTTTTCTTTTGCAATACGATCGAGGCTGCCTGGAGTTTTAATTGCTTCTGATAATTCCGTGCATTATGTCAGGGATCGTCCTGTGAAACTGATGTGGTTTCAGAATTGAGCCAGGAAAGGTGGCTGTCAGTGGGGATCGGGGAGAGGAAGAGGCATTGAATTAGGAAAACTCAACTGCTTGTACACAAATATACACTACAGCAATTACGAAGCAACAAAAGTTATTGCAGAATTTTGCGGTAACTATGGCAACACAATTACTCCATTATAATTGGAAATGCAAAATGCCACCCCGTTAGAGAAGTTTCATCAGAATGGAGTTTTGGAAATCCAAAATAGGCGAGATTTAACACCCCCCCAACCCCCCCCAGGTAGCTCCTGAGATTTTTAAAATCTGTGTTCAATTATCTATTTTTAAGGTGAATCAAGCCTTCCCAGATACTCTCCTCCCTTGGGTCTGTGGCGTCTTTCCCCAGAATTCACATTTGTGTGGGAGGGAAGTATTTTCCTGCCTTAAAACCACACACCCTGACACATTGTAAGACTTCTATAGCTTTCTGTGTTCTGGGCTTTTATTTTAAAGATCAAATACTCTCCTAAAGAGAGCGGTAATCAATCAGAAAAGAAGCAGGATTTATGCAGCAGGAAGATGTAACACTGCCCTCTTTAGGGTTAGTCCCTTCTGGAAGCTGGCGGCCCGAGTGCCTCTGGGGGAGCCCTGGGGCTGGGGAGGGGGGGCGATGTAGGGCTGGGGGGGAGGGATGACTGTGGACTACTGTAGGCCTCCGGACCAAGGACAGATGTGGTCTCAGCAGCCCTGAGCCAGAATGTTCTGTGGTCAGCAGCTTCACAGCCACGCAAAATCAAACTCCAAATGCCACGCTCTCCGAGGCCTCGGGGGCCGTTAGGGCAGCAAGGCCGACAGAGCAGCCTGGCCCCCCTGTCGGTGTGCAGCTGGAGCGAGACCTTGACTTTCCGCGGCCAGAGACCTGCTTTGTAAGGGTGCCCCTCTTGGCGTTTCCTGGGGGCACTGTAGTTCTGGAAGTTTCCAGAACACGTTGTGGGGTTGCTGCCGTTTAATTTCGTTATAACTTTCCTTTTAACTACTGCATATTTATGCCCAGTAATCGACTTCCATTTTCCAGCTTCATTGTGAGGCTTCAGTGCAGCATGAATGGCTTTGAATTTCTCATCCTTTGATGTTGGGGGTGGCACCAGGGGAAAGGCGACTTTGTGCCGTCTTAATTGCCAGAGCAGAGGCAGCATTTCATCACTCCTGTAGAATCCATCCATACCGTTCTCTATTGAAAACGGCTGGGCTTTCATCGCTCAGAAGCTGCCCCGGGTACTAGATTAATACCTGATGCAGGGAGCGAGGAAGACGCACAGAATGAGAGGCAGCTGCTGGCCCGGAGGCCGCGGACGACAGGCTGTGGGCAGGCTCGGGCTCCTGGACCAGCATCGATGCCCACAGCTGGGGGAAAGGGCCGGCCCAGCCTCGGCGTGTGCGGAGGCCTCAGCTCCGCGGCCTGAGCCCCTTGCCCCTTTGGGGTCAGCCTTCCACTGATGGTGTGGTGGGGGGCAGGCGTCAAGTTGGGAGGGGCCTTTGTTTCAATGTCAGACAGTCTGCATGGGTTCGAGGCTGTTGTTGGTCTTGACCTTAGAGGAAGGTGTAGCCTCCTTTGGTTTAAACCAAAGGGTTTAAAGGTTTAAACCAAAGGGTTGCGTGTCGGAATTGGTGCCGCCTTTAACAGACCTTTGCAACATATGCTTACAGAGCGTTTCCTTTGGGGGAAAAAATGTCCTGAAGGAAGATCTGTGAGTTCTCTTCCTAAGATCAGTTTTCTCTTCTTGGGGTCTGTTTAGGGGTGCGGGGTGGGCTGTGGCATCTGTAGCCGCTTGAATGCCTTTTCTCTTGCTGCATTTTCTGGAAATGGAAAGTGGTCCAGGGCCCTACACAGGTGGCCCCTACTTGTGACCCTCCATGTGACACCCGGGACAGAGCCTCTGCTCTGCATCAGTGGGTGTGGAAACAAGAACGTTCCCTGGCGGTTGTGACATAGACTGCTAGCTAACATTCTCAGGCATGGGCGTAAGGGCACCTTCCTCATGAAGTAGCTGTTCCTGTACCCATTTTGCAGAGGAGGAACCCGAGATTGGAGGATGGAGCATCCGGTACCCGTAGCTGAGTCAGGTCCCAGACGCGGATTCCCTCTTTTCGTCCATGCCTCTGCTTCTAGGTCAGCGGTGGTCTTGAAGTGGAAGTTCAGCATTGTCGAGGCTTCTGGGAAGGCATAGCGTCTACGAGAAAATGACAGTTTGGGGTCTCTTTTGGGTTTGGTGTTGTGTTGGCTGTTGCTGGAGCTGAAGCCCGAGCTTTGGTAGGGTCCAGGAAGTCGTTCTGGCTTCCTTGTGCTGTCCGCTGGCATGTGCATGTGTGTGTGCGTATGTGTGTGGCATTGTAGGACTGGAAGGGATCTTCACAGTCTTGTTGGCCGGCAGTGGGTATAGCCCATGCTTAAGATCTGAGCCTGCCTGGGGGCTGGTGATGTTGGTAGAGGGCACCCTGTGCTCCACATCCATTCCAGCCAATGCACTTTGGCCTTGATTGTTTTGTCTGCCAGGATTGCGTTGGAAGATTTTATTGGAAGAAAGCATTCTAAAGATCAAAAACTTTGAAAAGCCACTAATGTAATTTATTCTTACTGTAACACCACGCCAGAAACCTTAAAGATAAAATGTTGACAGATATAACAGTGTAAGAATGAAAGAAAACTTTTTGGCTTAAGATTCCATAAGTGAGGTTAAGAGACAATGAGAGAAAAAATAGGTAACAAGATGTGCCTACCGTGAGCATAATAGCCAATATGTAAAGAGCTTTTGCAAACGAATAAGAAAAGAGTGAGCATCTCTATTGTAAGATGAGCAAAGCCTATAAATAATACAAATCACAGTAGCTAATGTAAAAGCTTAGCTTTGTTAAGAGAGAATTTTAGGTGAAGGATTTCATTTACGCCCATTCCATCAGCGAAAGCTGTTTGATAACCCCCCTTGGTGGCGATGACAGTAGCTCCTATCTTAATAAGGTTTTTGTGAAATCGAAATAAGTTATTATGTGGAAATTGCTTAGAACAGGGCTTGGTACACAGTGAGCACTAGGTAGGTGTCGGTCATTCCTATTATTTGTTCTCTGGGGAGCAAATTAATTACTTCATTACCCTCCAGAAAAGTTTTGTGTGTCAAAAACGTAAACGGTCATGTCTCTGACCCAGCAATTGTGTCTGTGGGGACCGTCGATTCTTAGGAAAGAATGTGAGAAGTGCTTAGGCATCCAGGTGCGTGCGGAAGGTCGTCGCTCCATGGTT